CAAAATACAAAAGAGGGTGAACAAAGTGAGTCACCACAAAAGCTCATTCAGTTTGATCATCTCATACCCTTCCTAATTTATCTACGAACTACATAAACATCATACCCTACACAAGTTATCTAGCAACTATACAAAGCTCATTCCTGAGGCTGAGATGGTGGCTGAGTAGATGGCCCTTGAGTATCATCAAACTCAGTTTGTTGAGCTCCCAATCCAGTCGCAGATGTACCAGCTACAGCTTCCAGATCAGTATATATTGCCTCTCCACCTAGAGCATCCCTCACTTCTCTATCAACCACCAAGTTCCTATGAAGAGGCTGACCTGCTCCAGCCTACACCAATCAACAGAATACTTCAGTGAAGAGTGATGCATTCTAACACAAGATAAACTAAAATCAAGCATGCTTACTTGTGCTCCTCTGTTATCTGGGCATTTCCTAGCATTGTGTTCTGTTGACTTGCATACACCACAATGTTGAACCCTCTTTTCAAAGCAAATAAGCAAGTTAGTGTAAATGTAAAAGTATAGCAAACATTTGTGATTATAAGGCTGGTCAGAGTTGTACCTTAGGTGGATTTGAGCCACCATGCTGCTGCCCTCTTCCTCTCCCCCTGCCCCTTCCTCTCCCTCTTGTAGAATCAGTTCCTCTCCCCCTGCCTCTCCCTCCAGTACCATGATCAGCAGCAGCGCGAGGAGGGTTGGGGCATTTTCTGGATTTGTGCCCAGCAGCCCCACAATTGGTGCAATGCATCACCATTCCCACTCTTTTGGCTGCTGTACCAGTAGGCCTTCCATTCCTATGCAAAGTCGTCTCCAATTCACCGGCCTACTTTCTTCTTTTCTTCTTCGGGCGCCCCGACATTTTCTTGTAAATGGGAGGGTGAACTGGATAACCATCAGCAGCTGGCCATGCTTGTTGCCCTACCACAGCAGGTATGCTACCAGAATATGCCTTCCGAACGGTTGATACGAGGAATGAAGTGTGCACAAAGTCCTCCAACTCTTGCCTCATTAACCCTATAGTAGATAGTGCATGGAAACAAGGAATGCCACTCAAATCCCATGCCCCACAAGTGCAGCTACGAGCCTGCAAATTCACAATATATGTTGCTGCCCCATAACTAACCTCTGCAACAAAATCAGAACTAGCTCTAGCAACACACATCCTAGCCTTCAAATCCTCTGCAGTGATTGTACTCATGACAGCTGGACATATAACTGACTGCATCTTCTCAAACTTCTTACGTTTCTTTCTCATTTGGACCATAATGTACCCTCTAATGGCCTCTAACATTGCAATTATCCGATACTCCCTTGCCTTCACAATGACATTATTCCAGCTCTCACAAATATTGCTTTCCACAGAGTCTGATTTTGGGAGTCGAGAGAGGAAAGCACGACAAAAAGACTTGGGGTCTTGCTCCATAAAGTCTGAAAATGGGGTCATTACTGCTTGTGCACTTTGGAAAGCCTCCATTTTGGCTGTGGCAGCCTCATATTCTGGCACATTACTTGCATAAACTGCCTCCCAATAGATCTTTCGCATCTTCTCATTCTTAACCTTGACCTTCCAATTTGCAAACACGTGGCGGGCACACTTTCGATGCTCGACACTAGGCATAACTAGATTGATTGCTTCAACTAATCCCTGAAATAAAAAAAGAAGAAATCTTAGAAATCAAAAAACACGCTTTATATATGTAAAAAACAGCAAGGTTGGGAATACCTTTTGCTGGTCAGAAACTACGCTCCATCCAACCCCGTCCCCGAATCCCAACTCCTCTTGCAAATGCTCTAGAAACCACTTCCAAGAACTCTTGTTCTCACCCTCCACAACAGCCCATGCGAATGGGTAAATGTGACTGTTTCCATCCTTCCCAACGGCAGTCAGCAGCATTCCTGAAACCTCGCCCTTGAGGAAGCATCCATCGATGGAAAAAATTGGCCTACAACCAGCCAAAAAACCCTTTCTCAAGCTGGAAAACCCAACATAAAACCGTTTGAAATGCACCTTCTCAGCCACTTGCACATCCGGCTCAACTTCAAGTTCGAACCGTCCCTCAGGATCTGCTGCTATTAGTGCAGCCACATACCGACAAAGCTTGTTATACTCTTGTTCAAGAGTACCACATAACATCTCTTTAGCAATGGCCCTCGCAGTATAACACACCTTCAATTCAACATCGACTCCAAGCTCACGTTTCACCTCCATCGCAATAAGTGGGGCTTTCCAATCTGGCTCACTCTTGAAACGCTCAAGGAAGTGCTCGGCAATAAACCTAGCAGTTGCTAGGTTTACTCGAGTCGACCTAGTGCATGAATGAGGCAACCCAACCCTTCTGACCATAAAAAACGCATTCCCTGACCACCAGGCAGCATAAACCCTCCAAGAACAATTCTGGTCTTTGCACCTGTACTCCCTCCTACTTTCATCACTTTTTTTACACCACAAACTAGCCCCAGCAGCCACAGCATGCTTTGAAATTGCCTTTTTAAAGTCTTCAACATCCAAAAACTTCATCCCAACTGTGAACTCAAACGCTTTGTGATCACAATTTGGATCGTAGAAAGACAGATCATCAAACATATCTGCGGGTTCCTCATCCAACAAACCTGTTCTTCTATGGGCAGAAACCGAGACCTCATTTTCGCCATCTTCTTCATCTTCATCAGGAATGTAGTCTCCATCATCTTCTTCCTCGTCCATGTCACCAGCATCTCCCATAGGCTGATCCACCTCTTCCCCTGCTTCACTATCTGGACTGTTGACCATTGGAAGATGAGTCTGCTTCTCAGATGACTCCTCATCACTAGAGTCAGCCACGTTCATTATCTCCTTAGCAACCGAATATTCCCCCACTTCAAAGTAGTCATCATCCTTTTCAAGCCTTGCTATGTTGTCCGCAGTGTCATTGTCACCCATCAAACCATCATCTTGCTCGACACAATCAACAAACAGAGAGACCTCCTTAGTCTGTGCTGTATCAACCAGCAGACCCTCCACGATTTCCTTGTCGGTCATGATTTCGTGTAATCCATCTGCCATTGTGGCTCCAGGAGTCAAGTACCACATCTTCCGGACTCCGTAGTAGTTCAAGTACCCAGTGCACAAAGACAGAATCCCAAAGTAGGAAACTTCATCAACATCCACCTTGAACTTCTCCGAAAACCCTCCAACATACTTTGGGGAATCACCAGAAAAATCCATCACTCCTCCATGATGGAAATCGAGATTGATATATTCAGTCATCTGTAGCAAAATGTTAGAATTAGGTTAAGGGTTTGAAACCACAAAATCACAGATTAGGGTTCGGGTTTCGTAAAAGGGTTCGAATATGGAGAAGGGATATGGAGAAGGGATTTCGTCTTTGAACCAAAAATTCAGAAAACCTAGGGTTTGAATCGAAAACCTAGAACCATCTTACCTTGCTCGAACAGAGATAGCTGTCCGGAAGAGTTGGAAGCGATTCGGCGACGCGGCCCTTGCTTGCTTTCTCTGCAACAATTCGGCGACACTCTGGGTGCTGGGACCGTCGGGGAGAGAGATGGAAGCGCGGCGCTGGGTGCTGGGACCGTCGACGCAGGGAGGTTTAACAGGCGACGGCAGCGCTTGCTGCCTCGCCTGCCGGAGAATGGATTCGTCGTCGCGATGGAATGGAGAAGGAAAGGCGAAGCTCGGGAGAAAGAAGAGGATGGGAATCGAAATGGTTCTGTTTTTTTTTTTTACTTTACTAGCCGCTATTATTTACTTTACAAATCATTTTTTTTAATTAAAGGGCACCGCCACGTAGGATTCCACCTCATTCGGACGCTGCTGAGTCAATAAACGTAACAGAACAGTTAACGGTGGGGTAACGATTGGATAAAAAATAGAATTTTGATAGGTTTGGGTAAAATAAAAGAAGTTTGAAAAGGTTTGGGTAAAAAATAGACATTGCCCTTAATTAAATAATATACATCGAAATCAACACATGAGGGTCCGTAAATGTGTGGAGTGTTTGGTTTGCCATATTAACAAGGTTAGTGATGTTAACTCGTCTCAATTGACAATTGTATGTCGTACTTTATCGTATTATTATGTAATACATAGTTACACAAATCAAATAAGATTATATAAGAAATCGTTTGAAAAAGGTGAAAAGATAGGCGATATCAGTTATATGCAATGCATTTTCAATTATTTCCGTTCAGTATATGGAGACCATATTATTTTAATATTTAGAAAATCACATGTACAATTCCAAAAGCACTCAAGGCACATAGTAGATCAAACAAATAGTTTATATTAGTAGTATGTTATTGCAAAGCTCAATCCGTCAAATACACGTACCGTTTACGGCTCACTTGACAAACACGTATACTGACCACAGATTTCAGAATATATATTTCATCATGTTCATTGTTCATATGATATATGAACGCCTAATTTACCATAATGTTAAAATTACAAATCGAAGTCATATCATAAAAAAAATTCTTCGAAACGAAGGACTTCGTCACAATTTTTGCAAACCAAACATTATGTTCTAACATTACACAAATTCTTACCATTTCACATAAAATTCTGCCTTATACACGCTTGCCCAAACCACCATTAACACCACTAACACCAAACTTTCCCATACAGAAAAACAACCATCTCGATCATTGGTGCGAAATAGGGTATTTAACCGCCGGACTGTCTGCAATTGGTTTTGGTTCATTTATGACTAACAACAACAAACAAACTGTTGTGTTAATTAATATATAATCAAATAAATTAACCATAAAAAGGGTGATAGCTGAACTAATTGGAAATTAAGCTAATTGAAAAATGAATCCCTGTCCACCATTTTCCACCTTCCTGTCCATTTGGCGCGTATCCAAACCAACCAACCCAAACGCGCGCACTCTCTCTCTCTCTCTCTCTCACGCTCTGCTCACTTGGCCAAACAAAAAAATTGGAAAAAGAAAAGAGAGGAAAATGGGAAAAGAAAAATCAAAACCATCGCTTTGGCTTTCAAAACTGACACAGAGAGGTAGAACTTAGAAGAGAGAGTAAGGAGAGACAGACAGAGAGAGAAAGTAGTGAGAGAAAGAGAAACAGAGAGAGGGGGAAAAAGGGCAAAACACCAAAATCCCAACAAACAGTGCACCTCTCGCGTTTGCGTTCGTAGTGTGAAGAAGAGAAAATCAGTGTGTACTGTGTGTAGAGAGAGAGAGAGAGAGGGAGGGAGGGAAGAAGGAGTTGTTTTTCCTAGTTTTTACTGCGTCGAAGCCTTCTCTCACTACTTTCTCTGTCTAGAAGTGGAAGGGGGAGAAGGGAGGAAGGAGGAGAAGAAGAAGAAGAGAGGCCCATTTGACCGGGGTCGCGGGTTCGACGGCCGTACAGTCTCTCAATGCTCCGCGGGGCTCCGCGAATTCCGGGTCCGTCGAGCATGGAGCGGTACGGACGAGGGCAGGAAGGGACGCAGGCGGATCCGTCGCCGGAATGGTCGGCACCGGGGCCGGAAACTGGGCTTGAAGGTTCGTTTCGTTTGGACCAACCCGCATTCCCTGTGTTCGCTGCTGGATTTCGCGTGGGAAGAGGGAATGTCGGTTTTGTTTTTAATTTTTTTTTTGTTTACCCTTTTTGATTTTCTGATTTTTTCTTCTTCTTCTTCTTCTGTTTCGTCTGGTGGTGGTTTCTTCTTCTTCTTCCTGGGCAATGCAGAGGGACTGTGGCAGTTGGGATTGGGTGGAGAAGGCGATGCCGGGTACCCGGAAAGACCCGACGAGGCCGATTGTATCTACTACTTGAGGACAGGGTTTTGCGGGTACGGAGCGAGGTGTCGGTTCAACCACCCCCGTGACCGAGCTGCGGTAAGCTTCTCTTTCTCGTCTGAAAATGGCTGCTTCAAGGGCGATCGCTGGTCGTTTCTGCGATCTCGATTGGGATTGGGCGATTACGGTGTTTGGGTTTCGCTCTAAATTTTGTTTGGTTGCGGGAGTCGGTGCCGACTGCCAAGTGTTCGATCATTTGCCTAGCTGAGTTACAGTGGAAATTGGAAAGTGATCTCTTCTTTCAGTTGACATTTGTGTGTGAATTGATTAGGTACTGGGAGCTGCTAGGGCTGGTGGAGAGGAGTTCCCTGAACGAGTGGGCCAGCCTCTGTGTCAGGTAAACCCCATTTTTGGCTCTTCTTCACAACGTGGATGGTTGATAATGGACAATGCACCAAGTTGTTAAAGTTCTTCAACAGTTTTTAGGAATGAACCCAGGAGGATATTTGGAGTTTTCAGTTGGTTCACCATCTATCTGTCTGTTTCCAGTTTGATGTGTTACTGAAATGGTGTTGTCGTCAAAACTTTGCAGTATTATATGAGGACTGGAAGTTGTAAATTTGGTGCCTCTTGCAAATACCACCACCCAAAGCAAGCAATTGGTTCAGCTGCTCCTGTGCCTCTAAATTATTATGGTTACCCTTTACGTCCGGTTTGTACATCCTTTTACCTCGTGATTAATCTGTTGCATCTTTTCCACTGTATAGTGGATGGAGTTACGGATTTGATATCTTGTTTGTTGATTCGTGTGTGTGTGTGTTGATTGATTTTAAAACAGGGCGAGAAAGAATGTACATACTATATAAAGACAGGGCAGTGCAAGTTTGGTGCTACATGTAAATTCCATCACCCACAGCCAGCCAATGTACAAGTTCAACGGCAGTCATTGCCATCACAGGTAGCACCTGTGGCTACTCCATTAGCTGCTCCTGCATTATATCCACCCATGCAGTCTCCATCAGTTCCCTCATCCCAACAATACGGGGTATTAGTTGCAAGGCCTCCTTTGTTGCAAAGCACATATACACAAGGACCTTACGGTCCCATGCTTCTGTCTCCAGGTGTAGTTTCCTACCCAAGCTGGAGCCCTTACCCGGTACGTGAATTCTCTCTTGTTGCCTCAATTTTTTAACAGTGTTTTCACTGTCATTCACTTGAGTTGTGATATCTCATTGCGCAGGGTCCCGTAAGTCCAGCAGCATCTCCTGGTAGTCAGTCTGCACTTGGTTCGAGTTCTGTGTATGGAATAACTCAATTGTCGCCATCGGCACCTGCCTATACCGGGGCTTATTCACCTATGCCTTCTTCAATTGGGCCTTCAAGTAGTAGCCAAAAGGAACAGTCTTTTCCTGAGAGACCTGGTCAACCAGAGTGTCAATATTACATGAAAACCGGTGATTGTAAATTTGGATCGTCATGTAGATACCATCACCCGCCTGAATTCAGTGCACCAAAAACGAATGTCGCTCTTAGTCCCTTGGGTCTCCCCATGCGCCCAGTAAGCACTTCTACAGACTACTCTGTCTCGTGAGACTTGGATTGTGGTCAGCTGTTTGTTATCACTTCAATGTGTGCCTATCTTTTAATATAGACATATGATCAATTTGGTTCTGCTTTCAGTTGTGTTTATATGACTTCTGATGTTTTTGCGTATACAGCCTTTTCTCCCTCCATTTTAATGATGTTGACGCACTGAATGCTGGTGGAAGTGTTATGTAGATGTCAACTGATACTTGTACTATGATAGCATGAATGTCTCCATATTACCCAATGACATTCACATTGTTAATGCACATGAAGTTGCTTATTGTATGTGGTTCCTTTTGTGCAATTTAAGTCTTGCATAATTTCTTACTCGAATTTCACTATTTCTTCAAGAGTTGTGTTGCACCTTAATCTGCCTTATGGTAGATGTTATGCCTTCCATTTGAATATTACAACCATGAAAGCTTAATCTTCCATATGGGCCTGTAATATTTCCAGTAAGTTTGGAATGATGTATCTGGGTCACACATCATTATCTGGCTCTCTGTTCATGTTGGTTAGAGAGCTGGTAGTAGACCAGCTTCCTTTTAACTCTAGTATGCATGACTTGAAGTATCGGCCTGTTCTTTGGCAGCTGAAAGCTGCTGTCCTGATTTTCATTTTCTAAGCTTTTTATCCTATTGAGACAAGATTTCTTACTATCTCTGTTTCCCTACTGGTGCATGCGAGGAAAATTGTTTGGTATATTTGGGGGCTTGCCTTGTGTATGAATTTTGTTCAGTCCTGTCTTAGAGGCAGCATAAGCATAGCAAAAAGAGTCTACATTGACTGAAGTTGGTCTAGACGCGTGGGGGTAAACTATTAGTCTGCTTACCCATTCTGTGCTTAGCTGGAGACAGCATTCCCAATATCCTGCATACGCATGCTCTAGTTGCATTTATGAACATTTATTTGAGGTAATGGTCCAATGGATTTAATGTTGGTATCTGGATAGATGAGTTATTGGGACTGAATGGAAGTGGTTGTTGAGATAAATCATATGAGTTGCTCTTGGAAGCTGGGTATGTCTTTCTATTTTCTGTTTGTGGGTTAAGTGTCTCAAGCTTCCGGAGGTCTCAAAGAAGTTAAGTTGTTTGCCGCTGCCTCTCCTACCAAGACTTTCTTTTTGATGTCTTCAAATGTACCACTCCCACATGGAACATTTACTAGTCAAGAATCTGCTCTTTGATAGATCAGATTCTTGATCACAATATTATTATTTTCTGAATATTGCTTTCTTTCTTGGCTTTGATATCTACTAAACCAACCATCCAAATCTATGTTCTTCCGATCTAGGATCCAAATTTGATACCTTGTGTATCCCAAACCTCTGCGTCAGTGTTCAAACCTCTGTGTCAGTGTTTTGGTGCGTTCCTGTCCTTTCTGAATGTCACGTTATGAGTTTCTTTTCTTATGGGATCTTGGCCAGTAACAGTAATTAGACATGATCATTTTATTCCTTTTAATAATGATGCTGGTCTCTATGTCAAATGATACGGTCAGGAACATCCTATCTGTGGAATGCATTGAGCGTGAAACTTCTCTCACATTTTGTTGTTTATGTCCTCATGCTTTTAACATTTAGTGTTTTATCTTTCTGTTGATCATAACTACGAAATCTCCTTCTGCTCTGCCCTGCCTTCTCTTGCTTTTGCCTTCAAGCCTATTAATTTTGTTCGTTTCTCTTAATCAGGGGGCCCCTCTTTGCACTCACTACACGCAGCGTGGGCAATGCAAGTTCGGTCCAGCATGCAGATTCGATCATCCAATGGGAATAAGTTACAGCCCATCTGCATCATCCTTGGCCGATATGCCCGTTGCACCATACCCCGTGGGCTCTTCAATCGGCACTCTAGCTCCATCCTCCTCATCCTCAGAGCTACGCCCTGAACCGACAGGAGGATCTAGCAAGGACTCCTCCAGTTCCACGAGGATGACATCATCATCAGTTAACACATACAGTGGGTTCATAGGCTCAACTTATTCAAGTACTCATCAACCTTCTTCTGGTTCTTTAACTGGCAGCTGCAGCAGTGGCGGTGACAGCAGTGCACATGCCTCGAGCTAATTGAAAGGTTCTTGCAGCCTCTGTTCATTCTACCTCGATCACCATTCATGAAAGCCACAATATTCTCTTTTTTCTTTCACCCCAAGCTAGCTGTCAACTAGGAAGCAAAAGGTTCTCTTAACTTATATCATCCCTCATATGGCCATCTATCTTTCCCCCCTCATCTTTTGAATAAACTATGGGCAAGGCTTAGTGAACTGCCCTAATATAGCCTTGTTTGCCCCACCCCTTTTTTTGTTTGAATAATAACCATGAGAGGTTACTTGCAGTTCTCTTGCCTCTCTCCCTCTCCCTCTCTTTAGACAGAAGTTGAGTCCCAAGGGAAGTTGGGGAGAGAGAGTCGGTTTGGACTTTGGAGAATTGTGGCATATTGTATGTTCTCTTCTTTGTTTTCAAAGACGAAAGAAGAATGAGAGCAGCTCAAGATTCTTCCTTTCACTTCAGCCTGATGGCTTCCAATTTGTGCAGTGAAAAGGAAAGAAGGAATTGGAAGGGGTTTTCTTGTTCAGCCCCCCAGTTTTTTTGGTGCAGGGGTTTTAGTGTGAAGAAAAAAGAAGAAATACCAGCAACAGATTTGTGGAAAAAGATGGGAGGCACAATCTCAATGCTCTCTTTACCTTTTTCATTTTTCCATCTTTCTCTCCTCCAATGTGATTAGATGCATAGTTGTTCTTATATGTGTTGTTCCCACAATCAACTCTCTCTCTCTCTCCCCCTATCTTTCTGTGACATTGTTATTGATGACTCCTGTTTATGCATAGTTTACAATGTATACCAAGAATCTCTACCTTCTTTTGTTTGTAATAATGAGATGAATTCCTCCCTCCATAACTTTCTCTATTTCTAACATCTTCATTTCCCATTCAGAAGTAGGTGCATTTCTTCCTGAAAGTGAAGTGCCCTTTTTTCCCAATCCGTCTTGCGATGGTAAACTCCGGCCCCATAGATATTCGGCCAATTTTGGGGGCATTTGATTAGGGCAAGAAAACTAGGAAATCCGTGTTATATTTTGTTGGTTAAGTAGCCATGTCTTCATTACTAATACTAATGCCACATGTTCAATCCAGTTTCAATTACCCAGTAACAACAAAGGCTTTGAAAGAATAGCTTCCTATTTTCTATGGAGTCTTGTTACTAGGGAGCAATGCTTTAGAAACCCTACAATATCGATCATACAGGAATATTAGATACAACATTCCAAATGATAGACGGTTTAGCTATACGAAGCGGTTGAATTGAACCATGATTCAATAACGGTTTTAGTACAAATATCCTACCACTAACTTTTTCGCCATAACTTTCAGTATCATTGCTAGAGAGTTAATGGAATAATCATTAAATGACAAGCAAGGAGGACTAGTAGTGAAGTAAACAACAAAAGTGTCACTCTTGATATGATTCATATAAAATCAAGCATGGTAGTTGGAAAGGGTATATGTAGTAGTGTTAGTTAATTTATATATATATATATATATATATATATATATATATATATATATATATATATGTGTCTTCTTTCTTAATTATATATATATATATGTGTCTTCTTTCTTAATTAAGGGTTTAATAGATGGGAAGGACGTGTGCAAAATCTTGATGACCCCATTTCAATTATCATATATGCCCTTGGCCCTTCTCTTTGTTTGTTGGTATTGTACGGTACACTCCCCACACGAAAGCAATAAAGATTTGCACTTAAAAGAGGGATGGTGACAGCTGCCTGTATGATTCCAAACAAACAACAATGCCCCCGGACAAGGAATTAATAAAATTGGTTCAACATTTATTAATTAAGGCCTAACTGGAATTAATTTTTTAGGGACCGAATTGACGACACTTGTTAAGAAATCATGGATCGTGTTCCTTACCAAATAAATATTCATGATTTAGTAAGTCTTTCGTTTCCGAATAATGTTCTTTGTAAAGGATTATTTTATTATAAACAACTCGAGTTATTTTGAAAGGTTCAATAATAAATTCTATATCGTTCACTGACAAATCCTTCAGACCGAAGTTAACTTATATAAATTTGAAACTTTAAGAGGTTCAATAATGAATCCTATATCATGGTACCGATTCTTCCGAACTGATATTGGTGTTTACTTGAAGTGACAATTTTTTTTAATGATTTGATATTGATTTTATGATTTATTTTTGCCATGGTATTGGTTCGGCTAAAAAGAGACAGAGAAGGAAATTAAGAAGAAGATAAAAGAGGTGGTTAAAGAACTGCGAAATTGAGATATAGGAAAATAAAATTTTAATTGTTATGTATTTCAAAAATATAATTTTTTAAAATAGATAATTAATACATATTTTTTTTCAATACCCAATTTGCTCTTAATAGTGACGGCGTCAGTGAAGTACTACATATTTGCTCTCTAACTTAAAAAGAGTCAAAACAAAAGAGTATCCGAACTCCATTATTAATTCCTCTTATTAACTTTGGTTGATTTTCTAATGTCTGGTAGTTTATGAAGATAAGAATACTGCATTAACTGTTTTTATTGATAGGATTTTTTACCATACTCTACAACAAATCTGAAGTTCCCGGCATAACAAAGAGATGATAGATAATTAAATTATACAATCACAACAACCCATTTCATCTCCAGTACTCTCCTTTATCGGAGTAGTTAGCTTTCGGTGCTTCCTGCAAATATGAACTTCAAGCTGCTGCTGCTGCTGCTGCCGCCTGCATTCATTCATGGATTACGGTTGTTAATTTGGTGTCCCCCTGTAGACAAATGGGATGAAAACAAACATGGGCCGCGATATATCATTGTGTCGAGGCTACGAATGTCACTAGAAACAGTTTGCCAATCGAGAGCTTCCTGTTTCGCAGTAAGATTCAGGAGAGAGCGCCGTACGTACCTGCATTGCCTTGGAGAGTCACATTGCTGGTAGACGGTACTAGCAAACAGCAACGTCGCCGCGAAAAGGATATGGTTCAAGTCCATTGAGGCCATCTGGCCGACTCCACAAAGCGCTTCTTCAAGTTCGATGGACCTGAGCTATGCGGATAATCATGCCACTCCAATTCCATCTGGCAGAATCCCGAACGAAAAAAAAAAAAAAAAAAGAAATGAAACTTCATCACTGAAAGAATCATGTTACCTAAACTTGGAAAATGGGATGAGTGGCCGGGTAGCCTGTACAAACCTCTCCGACGATCACTGTGTCTCCTTCCTTGACGCCCCTCTTCAACAGCGCCTTATTTACTCCGCAGGCCTCCAGGACATGCTGAAATCTCCTTTCAGAATCCATGTATCTGTTTTTGTAGAAAGATATGAGCAAGTGGGTTGTTTGGTATAAATCCATGTGTTGTCCCATGTACTTTGCAGATGAATTGTAAGAATTGTGTAATGTCAGAATACAATGTTTGGTTTTTAAGTGAACGTGTAATCAATCCTGTGGGAGCAAGATGCAAGAAGTCAATTTCTCTCTATGGGCTCAGTTGGATCATTTGATTCCTTCGGAGGTAGATTCCTATGGTATGCAACCTATTCAAAGGAGGGAGCTGAATTGAAATCGTACCGCCAATTCGTCATCTGAACAAATCGTTGTAACCCGGACCCAGTCACGTGCCAAGTCTTGGACTCGTTCTCGTACGAGATCTCAAAGTCATTGATCGGTGCTCTTTGCTGCTTCCTCACCATGTCAGCCACATGGTTCAAGTTCTCGGGATCTTTCCGACCTAAAAACAGATGGAAAATTCAATCATGAATCCAAGAAAGAGAGAAGCTAAGACTGGAAATATATATTACCTTCAAACTCCGTTTCAGTTTTTTTATTCTTCTGTAGAAGCTCGTAAGCAGCAGAGATCACTTCACGAGTTCCCTCTCTGGTCACAGCACTCATGCAAAATGGCTCAATCCCACGAGCTTGTAGCTGTTTTCTGAAAGTGGGCCAATTCTCATAAGCTTCTGGAAGGTCCATTTTGTTATAGGCAACAATAAATGGCTTCTCTTCAATTTCAGGACTAAACATTTCCAGCTCAAGACGTACGGCCTCAAACTCGAGATCTGGCTGCGGTAACGACCCATCAACAACGTGTATCTGTAGGGTTCCAAAAAGAGAGAGAAATTCACTGTTCCCGTCTAGCAAAGTGGAAAGTATGAAATAGTTGAAGCACAATGACTAAACCGTTATATATACCAGCGCAGAACATCTTTCAGTGTGCCGCAGGAATTCGTGCCCTAAGCCGAAACCTCTGTGTGCTCCTTCAAGCAAACCTGGAAGGTCTGCCACCACCATGGTGGAATCATAATCGAATGAAACCACACCGAGATTCGGAAGTAATGTTGTGAAAGGGTAGTTTGCTATTGCTGGTTGTGCTGCACTAACCACGCTTAATAGCGTGCTTTTCCCAGCATTTGGTGCACCAACTATTCCCACATCTGCAACCAGTTTTAGCTCCAGCTCTATCCACCTGAGAAATCATGTCAACATTCACCAAAGCTTCAAATAAGCACTGTTTCCTTGATGCTCTAACAACCTTATCAATCACAGAATCCAGACTCGGATAAGATTAGCCACTCAACTAAAACTAAGGCTCCCATTCTACAACTACGGTGCAGAAAAACATCCGAGATCAAAGATCTACACTGTAACACTGTTCAGCAAGTTAGCCATCATTTTCTTCAAAATGCATTCAAGGTTATTCACTAAGATCATGGGAGTAACTTAAGCAGAGCTATGACCAGCTGATATGAAGTAAGCAGTATTGGATCAAGATCATACTACTCACATTTCAGTGCCTTCTTCTCCATTCTCTGCAATCCTGGGTACCTTGTTGCTCCCACACTTAAATGCAGTATTCCCTCTCCCACCTCTCCCACCAGGCAACAGCAGAGCCCGTTGGCCAGGATACAAGAGCTCCAGCAGAACTTCGTCTCGTCCGGCTTCTCGAACCACAGTCCCTGGAGCTACCTTCACCACCACGTCTTCTCCTTTAGCCCCATTCATCATTGATCCTTGCCCGTGTGAACCTCTCCCGGCCCTGAAATGGATCTTGTTTCGAAACGGCAACAGCGAGTTCATGGAACCGTCCACTTCTAAGTAGATATTGCCTCCTCTTCCTCCGTCCCCTCCCGACGGACCTCCCAACGGCACGAATTTCTCACGGCGGAAAGCCACCACGCCGTTGCCACCGTCTCCGGCTTTCACGAAAACTTTAGCCCTGTCGAAGCACCGCATCACCGCCGGTACTCCCTTCTCCTTAACGTCATCTTCTTCCTCGTTCTCATCCAAATTGAAACCATCCTTCAACGTTCTCCCGCCTCCGCCGGCGAACTCCTCCAACACCTGGTACGATCGACCGGCGGAGCTATCGCTTTCATCTCCTTCTTCTTCTTCCTCCTCCGCATCAGAATCGTCCAGAGTTCCGTCTCCGCTGGCGAATTGCTCCAACACCTGGTAGGTTCGACCGTCGCTTCCATCTATCTCCTCTTCCTCCTCATCGCCACTGTCGCAATCGTAATCATCCTCGCCTTCTTCCCCATCGGAGCCGACCTCGTACAATTCATACCGGCTGTAATCGACGCCTTCTTCCTCCTCTTCCTCTTCTTCAGCCTCCTCTACCTTGCTTGAACTGCGAATTCCGCCGCTCTCCTTACGATTCTCCGCCGCTCCTTCTTCCTCTACTTCTTCAATCTCTTCTTCTACTTTGCTTGAACTGCGAATTCCGCCGCTCTCCTTACGATTCTCCGCCGCGCCTAAATCGGAGAGGCGAACCTCCGCGGCGGAATATGGAGCGGAAGCGAAGGAAGGGAGGGAGAAGTCTTCCCGGACGGGAAGGCAAGTGTAGGTGGTGGCGTCGCCGCCGGTGCCAGAAGTGGATACCGGTTCGGGAGGGGACTTGTAAGTGGACCTCTGAGGCTTCAATTTGGAAGTGCGATTGAAGTTGGCGTTCTTGGAGGAATTCCTGTTCGTTGAGTTGCCGCGGCTAGGGGTTCCTGTTCTGGAGCGAGCTAGAGCTTGAGGAGAGAAGAAGGATGCGGATATGGCGGCCGCCATTTTCGTTTTGCCTGAGCTCTCTGCCGCTGGATAGCAGCTCAAACTTCAAAGGATGAACGGCTTTCGTAGAGTCGTATCCTGGGCTCCTGGCCCCTGGGTTTACGTGATTAACGAAGTTGGGCTTCCAATTTCGCAATTGGACGCTAGGCCCATTTCTTATATGATCCTCGTCAAGATCAGATAGTTGGGCCCTCTCATCGTTCAGTCTAAAAGTAGGGCGTAGGATTGGAAATTGGAATCCACAATATACAGACTTCATCTTCATCATCATCTTCTTCAATGTGATGCTCCGACCTTACTCGTATGGTGCTTCTCAAGCTCATCTATCAACAAGGAGGACCGCATTTCGTCGTAACATGGCATCTGCGCTCCTCAAGTTCGTCACTTACAAATGCTAGACGATCAATGATTCAGTTTACTAACATACATTTAAGAAAACTAACATGAACATAGAACAACAATTCACTCGACCAAACATGAATATCGTAGTACACGCTCAGCGTAACGAGGAAATGGATTTTCAGAGCCAGAAAATCGCAGGGATATACCTCCTGGTTTTGTGGCTGATAATGAAAGATGGAACTTAAAGGCAACGACATCAACAAAATGTTCCATAGAATGTGAGAACGGAATCAATCATACTTCAGACGAGCCACAGAACAATAAACCAACGTTTTGCGAAATCCTCATACAACGAAGGGCAAAGCAAATCTACCCCAACACAAAATGCCGAAAAGAGTTTTGATGTTCCTCATCAGGAAGATTAACTACTGCTATGGAAAGGGCGAACAGAGTTCTAAGCTGCAGACGTCAAAAAGGCTTGTCCAGGCGCCCGTTTTGCCAATGGTCCATGGCATCCAAGAAGCTGCATTAACAATAAGAGGTTCACATCATTATAAACAATTTCTGGACGCGCAATTCCCAAACACTAAGTTCGTTGCGGTGTTAAAACTTGTGAAGGACAACAACACTAACCTTAGCATTGACACCATCAGGCACAATCCTCTGATCTTGCTTCAATCTCACATAGTCGGCACGATTGAACTTGGTAAACCCCCTGCTCACCACAAAATTTAGCCAAAAATGAGAACTATGAAAATTGACAATAGACAATGAGCAATCCAAGCGATGTGAAATGTATGGAATTCAACTTTCAGGAGACTCCAAATCCCTCACACAAGGAGAGATGAGAAACCTCTCATGTAATTTAGGCCATAGACAATGATTTCGACATACCCTCATCAGGACCAACAAGAATCTCAAAGCTATCTACCCGAACAAACCCATCTTAAGTGAAATAATTGCCACCATTATGCATCAATCTTCTAACTAAAATCCAACAGCAAGCACAGAGATGTATGATCAAATGTACCAGCATGGCACAACATATTAGCTTTAGACATACCATTTCCTGCTGACAATGATCTTTTGACGACCAGGGAACTTGAACTTGGCTCGACGAAGAGCCTCCTGAGCATGAGTGCTGTTGTTGTCCTTGCAGCGAACAGACAGGAGAACCTGGCCGATCGCCACCCTGGCACAAACACCTTGTGGCTTGCCGAATGCACCCCTCATACCCGTCTGGAGCCTATCGGCTCCAGCACACGAAAGCATCTTGTTGATACGCAGGACATGGAACGGGTGGACACGGACCCTCAAATGGAAAGCGTCCTTGCCAGCCGTCTTGGTCATGTACTTGTTGCAGGCAATGCGTGCAGCCTCGAGAGCCTCGCTGGAGACATTCTCCTTCTCCCACGAGACCAAGTGGACGCAGAAGGGGAACTCATCGACTCCCTTCTTCTTCATCCCCACATCGTAGATCCTGATCTTGGGGTCAGGGACACCACGGCAGAAGCGGGACTTAGGGTATGGCTTGTTCTTGATCTGGCGGTAGCACCTTGCTGGCCCTATAAAAAAAACCAGAACGAACAATCAATCTACCAGACGATTAAACGATTATATCATCCTCTTCCATCAAGACTAAGGTAGCCGAATCTAGAAGACGGAAGCAAATCTAGATTCTCGACGGGAAATTGAAAGGCAAACGAATATGAGAAGATAAACCAGAGCCGCAGACCAAAGAGAAATCGACAAACTGGGTTCGTATCTGAATAACAAGTTTAAATCAACGGCGGGGACCAGAGAGCGGCGGTACTTACTTCTCCCCATGGCGGCGTGAACGATTCCGGCGAGCAACAGTTGGTACGGGTGGGAACAACGGAATTTCAGAATTTCGGAATTAGATTTTAGTATTTATACCGCCCCAGCTAGGGTTTAGGAGAGGCACACTGTTTTTGACTTTTTTTTTCCTTCCGCACATCTAATTTGACAAGAATTACATTTATGCCCCGTAAAGTTTACTTGTTCTCAACTTAGGATAAAATACCTCGGGTACCACTAAAGTTTGAGAATTGGGGCAGACATACCACTTAAGTTTAGAGGTGGCAATTTCAATCCAATCCACCAATCCAATCCATCAATCCATTAAACATATCCACTTAATCTAATCCATTTAAATCCAATTCATTTTATCCAAATCTAATTGGATTGGTGGATTCATGGATTGGATCCATGGATCATTGGCAAATTACGGTTTAGTACCTATAATTTTTATTTTTTACATTTTGGTACCTAAAATTTAATTTTTTATACGAAAAATATCATTAGAAAATTACATTTTGGTACCTAAAATTTTTCATTATGACATTTTAGTACCTAAACTTTTTACATTTTACATATTGGTCCTTGGTTGAGGATGTCATTTGGATTCATGGACAATCCACCAATCCAATCCATTTGCCACCTCTACTTAAGTTTGAATAGGGCGCCGGGTACCATTAAAGTCACCAAAATGTGCATCCGTCTAGTTTTCCATCCAAGATAAAATTTTAATTACTTTTTGGTACCCAAAACTTTTAACACAATCAAAACTATATTTCAACAAGTTTTTATCTAATATAGAAATTAAAAAACCTTCTAAACATAATATTACTAAAATGACTAATCAAAATTTTCAAATTAGTAAGAATAATAAGCAAATTATTAAATTATTATAACACATAATGGTAATTTAAAGTACTTATAATGATAATTGATTCTACATTTCCTATTCAAAAATTGGTTTGGTATCAAAATCTCAAAACAATATGAGAATAATTCCATTATTAGAAAACATAATGATAATTGAAAATACTTACAATGATAATTGACTTTAAATTTTCTATTCAAAAATTAATTTGGTATCAAGTTTTCAAAAGAGGATACCAATTAAATAGTAAAAATTGATGTTTTTCATAAGTCAAAATAATTTTTTACAATAAGAAAAGTAGAAGGACAAATTAAGAAATTTAGAAAACAGAATATTCCAAGAATATTTTGTTAACTTTAACGGAATGTACTTAACATTAAACTTAAGTGGTACCAGGTGCACAAATAATAGAGTTCAGTGGTACTCAACGCCTTATTCAAATTTAAGTGGTATACTTGCCCTATTTCTGAAACTTAAGTGGTACTCGAGGTATTTTACCCTCTCAACTTACATCCTTTATACTAATCTTCCATCTTTTTTTTGTTCAAAACCTTAAAAGGAAAAAAAGAAAATATTGACACTTTAACCTATTTGGATGTACAAATGAGAAATTTGAGTATAAATTAAGGTTGTGAAACTGGTTTATACCATTGTGTCGGTTTAGCAAGTGATATGGTTCAATCGATTTGTATCGGTTCACAACAGTTTAATAAAATACGAATTTTTTTTGTCAAAAGATATAATATATTAATCCAATAAAAAAGATAGTTACATCCTGGATAGCACCCAGGCCCTGAAATCAAAGAAACGATTTACAGTCGGGTACAAAGAGAGGGCTTTTCTAGCTACCGAATGAGCTACCCTATTCTTCTCCCGACCTACAAACCGCACACTAAACCTTGAATGGGCACGAAAATACTGACAAATCTCTTCGAGGACTGCCCCCAAGTAATTGTCGCTCGTGTCAGTTTGATTAATCTTATCAATAATGACCTTCGCATCACCCTCGAACCTAACTTCGGGCAATCCACACTCTAAACACCAGATGACAGCCTCCTGAAGCACAAGCAACTCCACTACCAGTGGCTCATCAATTTGCGCAAATTGCACACCTTTTGCCCTAAGGAGCGTCTGTTGGGCCGTGGCCCAGTGATTGTCTCAACGGTTCGGACCAGCAGGCCTCGTCACTCAAAGCCCACTCCACATAATGACCTTCTTCGAGATCACCAAGAGCGTCTTCACCTCCATTCCAATCCCTAAACACCAGAGCTCCAGGAAGATGCACCTACAACGATTAAAGACTTGGTCAATTCAAGTCTTTTCCAACGGCACCATCATTGAAGAAGAGAGAGACTGAATCCTGCTTCAGCAGCCTACTTAAGGAAGACTCAATGAAGGATTCGAGTAACGGTTTCCTTTCTCAGTAAGAGCGGGGATAGCTCTTTGGGAGAACAGGTTAGGGTTCGGATTAAGTGTCTGGAGAGGTTGAGTTGGGGCTTTCAGCCAGGAACTCAACCTTAACCAGGCGTAGCTCCCTTTCTGTTTCTTCCCTCTTCTATTCCCTGTCTTTCCTTTGTGAGAATTATCATTGAACAATCGATCGAAATCCGATTAGGTTTTTCCCAGTTTTATTCTTGTCTTCGAATACAATTGAATTGAACTAAAGCGTGTGCCTTTTGATAACTTGCCTAGAAGGAATGAATTAGTAGACACTGGTGTTTAACAATTGGTATCAGAGCACCCTTCTCGTGGAACTTCTGTTGCCGAGTAGGAGATCCTCTGTTCTGCCTTGTCTTCTAACTCATTCCCTGCTAGTTCAAATCCTCCTTGGTTTTCTGGGTCGAATTATTCGTATGGAAGAAAAGAATGAGACTCTACCTCCGAGGAATCGACTGTGAATTATGGACAATTGTCCGAAATGGGCCAATTGACATGAAAGAAGACGATGAGGAGGATTGGTCTGATGAACAAAAGAAGAGTGCTCAATTAGACTCTAGGGCTATGCACATTTTATTATCTGCTATATCAGATGATGAGGGTGAACGTGTTAACAAATGTG